AATGGGAACAATGAACCTGGTCACCTTCCTCTTTCCTGGGAAGAGTATGGAGTTAATGAATGCCCAAGACCGGATGTGACTATACCCAAGACCCAGTGCAAGCTGCCTAGAGGCAAGGGAATGGCCTAGCTGACCCTAGTTTCTCTCCTCCTGCCGGGGACTGAAGGACAGTGCGGGACCAACAATTCTGCTGTAGCTGCTCATCTTGGTCCCCCACCCTTCCTTGGGTGGGTCTTGGCTTGGAAGCCCTAATCTGCTTGCTCAGCACCTGCCCCACTTATTCCAACCTAAATTTGTCCAGCCCTGTGGCTTGCCCCTGCAGGGCTGTGTCCAGTCCACTGCAGTACATTGGGTTTCTCCGTCCCTTCTCACAGAACCCTATTCATACCGTCCCTCCTCTAGGCAGCTTTCTCTTGTTATCCTTGGGCACCGAGGGCTCATCTACACTCTGGGCATTTGTGAAGGGTTCGTGTCCTAGCTGTCCCCCAACTTCCGACCCCCACTCTATCCTGAAGTAGAACTGGGACCATAGAATGTGGTTCTTGGAAAAGCGGGCTCCACCCAGTGGGAAGATGGAAGCAGCGCCCTGTTGCCATGGCAACCAAAAAGCATTTCCCACCCCCCTCGCGAGTTTCTTCATTGGCCACTGAGCTCGAGGTCCCGCCTCCGCCACCAGAAGAGACCAACTGGAGGCCGGCTAAGTGTCCCCTGCTGGGGGATTAGCGGGGGTGACACGTCTCTCTTTCTATTCTGCCCGCGAGGAAACCCACCGGCTCTTGATCCCACTTCTCGCGGCCATCGTGGCGTCGATGGAGCTGTGTCCGAGAGTCGGGGAGAGAGGATAGAGGGAGGTGGGGAGCCGAGGATGTTTCCTCGGGCGGTTCTGGGTAGACGCAGAGCTGGGTTGTTGGACTGGGGGGGAAGCAGTTTTTCTTCCCAGCAATTCAGGTCGCCAGAGAGGGCGGGGGGCGACTCATTGGGACTGCAGCCGAGAGGTCCCTGAGGGCCGCCAGGCGGAGGCACAGGCGCAGGCGCTGCGCGGCGGGGAGGGGGGGTGGCTGCGGTGAAAAGTCTTATGGAAGGGGGTGGGGAGGATCGCATTATCAAAAGTAGGCTGGGGCTCCTGCAAGTGGCAGGAGTCTGGGCTTGCACTCGGAATCCTGGTTCGAATCCCCCCTCTACCCTCTTCCGCAGTGTGACCTTGCACTCACGTGACTTCCTCTCTCTAGTTCGAGGAGCGGTCGGATCGCCTTTTACTTGCTGCCGATCCCTGTGCTGAACACCCTAGGAATTTTCTCTCCCAAATGACTTCAAAAAGACCCTGAAATAGGTGGGGCTGTCTTTATCTGCATTTTACAGATAAGGAAACTGGCTACCTGGGGAAAGCCTCGGGAGAGCTCAGTTGGTTGGTGGTTGCCAGGGGGCAAGTAGGAGGTGCGTTCCCATCCCCACCCCCAGGCCTCCTGGCCTGTCCGGAAGGAAGGGTCGTGCCAAGCTAGGAGACTTGCGTGGTTTCTTTTAGCAAAACTGCGTCAGACTCTGTCTGGGGGTAAACCGCCACTAACTGGTGACAGCGCCTTGATTACAACAGATCAGAAAGGGGAAACCGAGCCTTCTCCGCCCTCTCCGGAAAGTTCCCTTTCCAGGAGACAACAGATTAAAGAGGATAGTGACTGCCTTCAGGAGGATGGAGAGAGTGTAACTACTTTTGCTCTTTCAAAACCGCCTAAAATTACCTCTGGAAGCCTCCACTTAGCGGTAACAGACCTATTCAACTTAGCCTGACTGGGGTTGAGACCCCGCAAAGACCGACCTTACTGGACAACACTAATGTGCTCCAACCGGAGGAGTGAGCCAGCAGAATGGGCACTGGTTGTAAGCATGAGGCTGGACGCAGTCTCTGAGCCAGACATTCCTCATCTGTAAAATGGGCTTGATGGGAGTGTGAGGATTAGGAAAAATAATCATGACACCCACTAGAACCTTTCCTGGTGTTAACCTGTGCTCTGGATGGGTGAGGTAGCCCTCCCTCCAGTGTCTCCCCCATCACACTTACGCCCCCCGCCCCCACGGTGGTCACACACACACCCCAACACAAAAACACCAGAGTTTCCAAAGACCGCACACTCAGAGAGAGGCTTCTGTGCAGAGCCCTTGCGGCTCAGTTCCAGGGGCGAGAGTCAGAATCAGTAACACTTAGGGGGCACCTAAAAATTTATGGTTTTTGAGTGCCTAACAATGGTCAGGCTCCGTAAGAAGCGTTGAACCCTGGTGAGCCCTTTTAATCATCTCAGAACCACCCTTCTCTCCTAAAAAATACTGCGGAGAGTTACCCATTAGTTAAGAAACTTCACCATGGGGTGGGGGGCTGGGTGGCTCAGTCAGTAAAGTGTCTGACTTTGGCTTAGGTAGTGATCCTGGGGTCCTGGGATCAAGCCCCATTCCGGCTCCCTGTTCAGCAGGGAATCTGTTTCTTCCTCTGCCCCCTCACCCTGCTCCTTCTCTCTCTCTCAAATAAATAAATTTTTGAAAAGATTTTATTTATTTATTTGATAGAGACACAGCAAGAGAGGGAACACAAGGGGAGTGGAAGAGGGAGAAGCAGGCCTCCCGCTGAGCAGGGAACCCTATGTGGGAATCCCATCAACTTGAGTCTAAGGCAGACACTTAACGACTGAGCCACCCAGGTGCCCCAATAAATAAAATCTTAAAAAAAAAAAATGCTCACCATGTGAATTTCAGACTCTTTCTGATGCAAATGACAGAAAACCTGACTCAAACTGGTTTATGCTAAAAAGGGAATTTGCTGGCTCAGGCAACTGAAAAAATCCAGGCATGACTGGATCTGGAGACTTGAAAATGTCTGTCGTAAAGACTGCATCTCTCGCCTCTGCCTCCACCATCTTGGCGCCATGTTTGGGCCTCATGAGTGGAGGTTCTTATCATCCCGAGTCCTAGCTCTGTATGAAAGACAGTCTTGGTAATTGTAGCACAATTCTCAGGATTTACTGTAATTACACGCGCAGGCGCTGGTTGGGGGGGTCATGTGACCACACTTAGAGAAGGCACAGCTGGGGAAGAGTCAGCATGGATTGGAGGCCTGGTCTGGCCTGTAGCAAGGGGCTGAAAGGGAGGGAGGAAGGAATATTTCTCCCAAGGAGGAACAGAAAAGATGGGCAATGGACACTAGCAGCTAAGTCGCCCTGTGTCTTCTGCACTGAGGTCTTCAGGTGAGAAGGTTGAGAAGAGTTGGGGCGGGGCTTGAAGTCTGGGAGTCGGACTCCAGAACCCACGACCCTAAGTCGTCTACACCTTCCACTACAGGTACCAGCCTGATACTAAGCACCTAGTAGAGAAAATGTTCACACGGAAGGTAAGGCCCTTGCCTTGGGAGAGAGCCCAGCCCTTCTGCATGGTCCCAAGTCACTCCTCCCCACCTCCCACCCTGGCTGCTCTTCCGGCAGGGTCCTAGGAGCCTCTCTGGTAGCTGGGCCTGGGCTGCTGCCTGACATGCTGCAGAAGGCCTTGCATTAGCTGGAGTTATGCACTGTTCTGGGATCTAGTTGCTTCCCATTTCTCCAAGCAGAGGGGAGAGTCTTTGGGGACTAGAACGGTGTTCTCCCTTCTGGATGTGGTCCCTCTCTGGGACCAGCAGAATGTGTGCAGTAGACAGCAGCGGTGATTTTGAGAGGCCCTAAGACGGTTCTTTTCTACCCCCTGTGTACCTCCTTTACTGTACAAAAATTCCATGATTAGATGGGATTTCACTCCTTTAATTCCCCTTTAGATTCATTCAGATTCCCCTGAGAAAGGCAGCGTAGTAGGTCCAACCTGCTCATTCACACTGGTGAGAAGCGCTCACAGAATCTTCCCTGAGGGCAAACTTTGTCATCCTGGCCACCATGGATTGAGGGCCTCCTACGTGCTTTCCACGGATTGAAGAGCATCTCATGGATTATCTCATTTAATCCTCACAACTCTGTGAAGTAGATACTGTTAGTGACCCCGTTTTACAGATGAGGAAACTGAGGCCCAGAGAGGTTACCGATCATGCCCAAGGTCTGCAGGGAGTGAAACAGGGATTTGAACACAGGAAGTCTGGTTCCAAAACCTACCCTCTTCATTCTTCCACCAAAATAATCCCTAACACTTTTCAGTGTTTGGAGAGGAGTTCTTCTCCCTGGACCCCACACGGCACCCAGTGAGAGGCGCCTGGGGTCAGCTCCCTGGTGTCCTGGGAACAGAGGGAGAGTGTGGGGGGCATGGAAGCTGGGAGCTGCCAGAACAAACCTGCTCCTTCTTCCCTTCCTCGTCTTCTCCCTCCCTCTATCCTTCTTTTCCTTCTCTTTCTTCCCTCTCCTTTGGCTCATTCATGCAGCCACCCGCACACCTACTAGAGGTGAGGGCTCTGGGTAAGCAGTGACCCAAACAAGTGTCCCTAGTGCTCTCACAGGGTCTACAGTCTAAAAAACCAACAGGGGTGCCCGGCTGGCTCAGTTGGTGGAGCACATGACTCTCCATCTCGGGGTCATGAGTTTGAGCCCCACATTGGGTGTAGAAATTACAATCAATCAATAAAATAAAATAAAAAACAAAAAGGTCTTGCTATTTGTTGAGGGTTTATGGTGAACAGGGCCCTGAGCTAGTTGCTGAAAACCTGCATCATTCCCAGAGTCCACTTTCTCAGGTAGGAGACTGATACTTAGAAAGACCTACAGGCATTATCTCTTTTTATGACTCCAGACTGACTCCAGAGTCCCAGCATCTCACCACTGGACTGGACTGCCCCCCTTCTTGGGGTGTAGTGAGGATCCAGTGGATACTTAGAGTGAGGAGTGCACACACACACAACACACACACACACACACACACACACACACACACCGCTGGCTCTGTGACTCCAACAGCCAGGCCCAGAGGCAGCCATTCCTGCTGTCTCCAGCACCTTCCTTCCCACCAGGAGCCAGGCCCCACCCCAAACAGGAGCTGAGTGGGTGAAGGCCGTCTCCCAAGGAAAGGATAGGCTGGTACACCAAGACCTCTGAATGGAAAACCCCAGGAAAATTGAATGAGAGTGATCTAACCAGAGGTTCTGGAAGGAGACCTCACCTGCTCTCCCAGGGCAGCCTTTGAGAGGGACTTCTTGTGCCCTGCAAGGTTTCCTCTCCCTTAAGTTGATCTGCTCACAGGCTGTGTCTGAAGTGTTACCCACCAGCAACTTCCTAGCTCCAGCTGGATGGGGAAGCTCCATGCTTTCTGACTGGGTCCTTCCAGGTTCTTCATAGGGATTGGTGTTCCCATTTTACAAATACAGAAACGAGGCTCCGAGAGGCTGACCCACAGCCACCTAATGAGGGTTTTGAATCTGTTGCCCCAACAAGTGTCTACTAAGCACCTAAATGAATGCCAGGGTCTGAGCTATGTCCAGGAGATAGAGCAGTGGGTGAGGGGGGCTTGTCCTACCTCTAGGAGAGTCAATTTCAGTAGGGCTGACAGACCAGAGGAAATACTGGAAATGTTGGCAGGACGGTGACAAGAGCTAAAAGACTTTGGGCAGGGCAAAGACAGAGGTCCCCTTGGGGCTCTCTCAGCTCCCACATTTGGGAGGACCCAGTAGAGAAAAGGGGGACTGGGGAGCTGAAGTGGGAAAGGCTGGGGTCTGGGATCAGTAGTCTTGGCTCAACTGAGGTGTTAACTGGGATGTTAACTGGGAGAAAGAGTTGGAGCTGCCCAGCCCCCCCCCCCCTCACCAAACGCAAAATACCCAGACACCTCTCGGGCCATGCTCTGCCTGCCTGGAGTTTCCAGACCAACAGTTTCCTTGTCTGGGGTGCTTTCCAGCCACACCTGCTTTCCTGGAGTCCAGTCCCGTCTATCCCTCCTGCCAGGCATGTACTTGGTGCCTAGTGTCACTCTGAGTAATTCCAGAAACCCAGGTGCCCTCACCCACTCCTGATTCAGTTTGACTCACCCTCCCCAGTTCTGGAAGGTGGCTCTTAGCTGTTCTTACCTCATGCTTGGGCACCTGGGGCCTGTGAGAGCAGCAGGTCCTCTTCCCCACTCTTTTTTTTTTTTTTTTTTAAGATTTTATTTATTTATTCATGAGAGGGAAGGGCAGAGGGAAAGGCAGCTGAGCAGGGAGCCAGATGCAGGACGCCATCCCACGACCCTGGGATCATGACCCAAGCCAAAGGCAGACGCTTAACCATTTGAGCCACCCAGGGAACGGCCTCTTCCCCACTCCTGAAGGTTAAACTGGTTGGTGTCTCACAGGGGAAGTGGAGAAGCCCTGAGGAGGGAACCCTCATCCACCCAGGATTAACTTCCTCCCTCTACAGTCTTCAGACATCTCCTTTCCAGCAATCACCAAAGTTCTTCCTGTTCTTAACAGGAAAAGAACATTATTTAGGAAGAATAGCTAATATTGGTTGTTTACTAGATACTAGACACTCTGCAGACATCATTAGAGCCAATATTAGAGCCAACATTCCATTCTTGGTGCTTATTTTCCAGATGAGAAAACTGAAGCTCAGAGATGGGACTCGTCTTGTCTCAGGTCACACAGCAAGGACTTGGTTGAAGTGGCACTGGAACCCAGGTATACTAGACTTCTGAGTTGTTTCACCAGGGGCACACACACCTGACCCTCACTCCAGCTGCCCACAGCTCGGGGAGGGAAGATAGGACTCATTCCACCTGCCAAGCTTGAGCCTGCTCAGATCCAACCTCATGCACCCCCAGGATCCTTTTGTGATGGTGCTAGGGGGATGGAAACTCTGAGAGGAGCCACCATTTGTTCAACCCAAGGACCTGAGTTCCATTACTTCCTAGATGGGGAGAAGCCCAGACCTATAAGAGGTGCCCCCCCTTACGTGTGGGTCAGGTCTGTGCTGCACATGAGAATCATAGCCAGTCATCCCTCCTCATATGGAGGGCCTACTAGGTGCCAGGCTCTGGGGCTTCCACGGAGAGCTCTTCTGGCCCCCCGGGGGTCTAGGAGGGAGGCTGCTCCTGGAAGAAGCAGGATAAGTGCAGGTGCCCCTAAGTGCAGGAGCAAATGCAATGCCGATCTTGCGGTAGGGGGACTCCAGCTGCTTCTGCGGAAGTGGCCGGGGAAGGCTTCCCTGAGGAGTGGGGGACCTCGGAGCTAAATCTGACGACCGAGGAGCCCATCGGGTGCCACTGAGGAGAGGGCGTCCCCCGCTGAGGGAGCAGCTACAGCGCCAGCGACCGCAGCGGCTGTCCGCTCCCAGACTGCGCCATCTGCTTCACCAAATTTTCCATTTCTTGCATCCATCTCCCTCCTGGCTCTGGCACCGTCCCCGTGTTCACCGCCACCCTCTTAATGCTGGCCCACATCACTGTCCTTCTCGTCTCGTGGGTGCTCTCCCGTCTGCCTGTGGGAACCTCCTCCCTCCTTTGCCGCTCCAGCTCGGGTTCCCGGTGCTAGGAGGTTTCCCCTGGTGGTTCCTGTGTCCTCACCCCGCCCCACCCCCCACCGTGATTCTTCTAAACTGACTACCTCATTCTACGCCATCCTGGTTCCCACCCACTCTCTGGGGCAGTTCTGACCACCCACCCCCCAACAAACTTGCCCCTTTCTTAGGGCAGAAACCAGAACCAGCTCCTACCCACCTCTTATCACTGGGCTGAGACTTTCAGTAAGACCTGTGCATTGCCAGAGCCCCTCACTGGGGAAAAAGAGAGGCGAGTCTGCCCAGGCACAGTGGAAAATCCCTGGCAGGGGGAAAGGCTATGGAAATTTCTTCTTGACGTTCTCTTTCCAGACTTGGACTTGCCCCAGAAAGCAGTCAAGCATTTGCCCATTGACCTGCAAGGCGGCTCTGCTCTTCCTCTCGCCTCCACCCCCACCCTGGGCTTGAACCCTGGGAGCAGTGATGGGCCTGAAAGAAGCCGCAGTGGGCAGCTGAGCTCAGCCTCAGAGAGTGGCAGGTGATGTCCTCCAGTCCCACCTCCTTAGTTCAAAGATGGAGAAGCAAGGGTCAGTGGCAAAATGATACAAGGCTGTGGATGTCTTCACTCCCATTTCAAGCTCTGCTGGTGCACTATGTACTGTTTCCTTATCTGTAAAATGGGCACAATAGTCATAATCCCTACTTGATAGGATTGGTGATATGTCAAGTGAGTTCAAGATGTAGAGCGTGCTATGAATATACACTGTGTATCCCTCTAATGCTGAGCTTGCTCCTCCTTGGGTGTAGCCCCCGCGGTGGAGGGCGTCCTTCTCATTGTGCCAGTGCCCGACCTCCTGGGCTTTGAGTGAGGCCTTGAAGTTATCACCAGGGGGGAGCAGGTTCCCGGGAGGCCTGGCCCCGTATTATTGCTAGACTGTGTCCACAGCATGTCTTGCCTGTATTTGTCCTGCTGCTTTTTAAATGTAGGTAGATGCAATTTTTGGTGAATAAGGTACACATTCGCTTAACAGTGTTAGTGAAGTCACAGGTTTGTCATATATTATAGCAAAAGTCCACTAAAATTTTTGGAGTTTCATAACGGGTTGGGGGGCCACTGGGATAGGTGCCCAACCTCTGCCCTTCTCCCCTGAGGGGCCTGTGTTCCTCTCCTGCCCCCTAAGAATGTGCCAACCCAAGTCAGCTCCCCTACTTTGGCCCTGGTCCCCAGACAATCCCCAGAGGGGCTCTGACAGGAATCTGAGTGTGTGGCAGAAAAGCCCATGCTAGAGAATGAAGAAGGCCACCCTCACGTCCTCAGAAAGTGTTATCCATCTCTCCTCCCACTTGTTAGAACGTACAGAATACTGCAGATTCCTAGCCCTCCTCTGGCCCTTTGCCAGTTACCACCTTGGAGGCCTGAGTGCAGTGGGACTTGACTGTTGTGGTCACTGGGGTTTGGACTGGGATGTGGAGAGGCATACAAGTGCTGGTAGTTGGTGGGAATATAACACAGTACAACCAAGGCTGAAAACAATGTGGCCATTCCTCAACAATTAAAAATAGAGTTACTATCTGGTTTGGCAATCCACTTCTAGGTATATACCCCAAAGAAGTGAAAGAAGGGTCTCCAAGAGATATATGCACACCCATGTTCCTAGCAGCGTGACTCACAGTAGCAAAAAGATGGAAACCACTCCAGGGTCCATCAGCGGATGAAAGGATAAGCAAGTGTAGTATGTACATATAATGTAATAGTATTCAGCCTTAAAAAGGAAGAAAATCTGGGCTATAGGAAGTTTGCTACAACATGAGTGAACCTTGAAGACACTGTGTTAAGTGAAGGAAGCCACGCCCAATTAGACAAATACTGTGATTCCACTTACATGACATACCAAGAGAAGTCAAATTCATCAAGACACGAGGTAGAATGGGGGGGGGGACTCCCAGGGGCTAGGAGGGGGACACATGGTATTGTTATTTTATTTTTTTTAAGATTTTGTTTATTTATTTGGTAGTGAGAGAGATCACAAGTAGGCAGAGAGGCAGAGAGAGAGGGGGAAGCAGGCTCCCTGCTGAGCAGGGAGCCCAATGCCGGGTTGGGCTCAATCCCAGGACCCTGAGACCATGACCTGAGCTGAAGGCAGAGACTTAACCCACTGAGCCACCGAGGCACCCCGGTATTGTTACTTAGTGGGTATAAAATGTCAGTTATGCAAGTTAAAGACTTCTGGAGAGCAGTTGCCTGACAACGTGAATATATTTTTAACACTATCAAACTGTACATTTAAAAATGGCTCAAATGCAGGATGCCTGGCTGGCTCAGTCAGTAGAGCATGCAACTCTTGATCTTGGGATCATGAGTTTGAGCCCCACATTGGGGGGTGGGTAGATTGTAATTAAAATTTTTAAAAATGGTTCAATTTATGTTATATGTATTTTACCACAATTTAAAAAAGAAGTATTGGGGATTGGCCCTAGTGGGCCTCTCAGGAGATGGCAGATTTGAAAAGTCATGGTACTTTTCACCTTTCTTCTCTTCCACACATGTTCATAGAGCACTTTCATGAGTCAGGCACTGTTTTAGGCACACAAAAAACTGTGGGTTAATATTCTACTGGCAGAGACCGACAATAAATAAAATTTTAACCAAAATGCTCATGGCTCCTCTACTCTTTCCTTTTCTTAATGAAAAATGTACCATATTTACACTAAATGGAATCAAATTATGGAGCCATAACTTATGTTTTAAAACTTCTAGAGCTCATCTTATATACTTTTTCGTGTGTGTTAGAAAATTTTTTAAGTGGGGGTGTAATTGACAAGCAGTGAACTATACACCCTTTTTTAGGTGTTCAATTGTTTGTATTTTGAAAAATGTGTACTAAAAAGACAACTCAGCTGATATAATTTATATACGCTAAATTCACCTGTTAAAAGTGTACAGTGCAATGTTTTTTCATACATTCACTGAATAATGCAACCACAATCAATTTTATAATAATATTTTTATCACCCCTCAAAAGAAACTACCTACAAGCACTCACCCCTACTAATCAACCACTAATCTACTTTTATCTCAACGATTTGCCTATTCCTGACATTTTGGATAAATGGAATTGTGTAATATGCGGTCGGTTGTGACTCCTCTCACTTGGCATCATGTTTCTGAGGCTCGTCCAAGTTGTAGCAAGTATCAGTCCTTCCATTTCTTTGTACTAATGAACAATATTCCATTACATGGAGAGACCACATTTTGTTTATCCATTCATCTGTGGATGGACATCTGTATTGTTTCCACTTTGATTTTATGAACAATGCTGTCAGGAACATTCACATGTTAAGTTTTTGTGTGGACATGTCTTCATCTCTCTGGAGTGTATGCCCAGAAGTGGGATTGCTGGGTCATACAGTAGCTGCATAGTTCACACTACGAGGAGCTGCCAAGCTGTTTTCCAAAGTGGCTGCACCATTTTACAAACCCTGCGGCAATGGACCAGGGGTCCTTTTTCTCCACATCCTTGCCACTCCCTGTGATCTTCCATCTCTTTGATGATAACCATGCTGGCAGTATGAAATCACAGCTCACTGGAGTGCTGATTTACATTTCCCGAATGACCAAGAATGTTCGACATCTTTCTGTAAATAGCTTATAGGTCATTTGGACATGTTCTTTGGAGAAATGTCATTCAGGTTCTTTGCTTGTTTTTTAACTGAGTCGCAAGAGTACTTTATAGGGGTGCCTGGGTGGCTCAGCTGGGTGAGTGGCGAACTCTTGATTTCGGGTCAGGTCATGATTTCAGAGTTGTGAGATCGAGGCCTGCATGGGTCTCCATGCTGGGCGTGGAGCCTGCTTAAGATTCTCCCTCTCTCTCTTCCTCTGCCCTTCCCCCCTCTTAAAGAGTTCCTTATATATTCTAGATGCAAATCACTTATCATATATATGATTTGCAAAGTATTTTCTCCCAGTGTTGTCTTTTTTCGTTAAGATTTTATTTATTTATTTGATAGAGAGAGCGAGGACAGGGAGAGAATAAGCAGGGGGAGCAGAAGAGGGAGAAGCAGACTCCCCATTGAGCAGGGAGCCCAACTCAGGACTCAATCCCAGGACTCCAGGGATCATGACCTGAGCCAAAGGCAAACACTTAACTGACTGAGCCGCC